AATCTGTCCCAGAATAAATCATGCAGACCATATCCAAACTTTTTGAAACTTTTTCAAGTTGTATAAAAAAGACCATCGTGTCTGATATATTATAAATATATCGGAAGTTATTAAACCTTTGGTCAGATAAACAATGACCCTATTAAAGATAAGTCATGACGGCCGTATAACATATCTATCAATAGAGGAGATCAAAAGTTAATACTACAAAAACTGCAACTACAACTCAAAATGAATTATTGGCGATGAAAAATATGTGAGATTAATAAAATTTATAATCGGCTTATTATTTATTTTGCTGAACTATAATATTTTAAAGATATGGCTATTGTTGTTTGTATACTAATCTAATTGTAATTTACTATTAAATTCTCATTTTTAACGAATTATCGTTCGTAAACATGTTCAATGTCATTGATACGCAAAGAAAAATTCAGGATCAAATTAAAGAACAAAGTACTGGATCATTGAGTGCATCATCCATAAAATCTATTTTTAAATATCACACCGTATTTTTACAGTAATATTTATTTAATTAGAGTGATTAAACTGTAATTACTTCTGTAAAAATTATAGTCTATCAGATTTCTTGTTTCGTAACATGTTCCGGTAAAAATCGATTTTCCGTTTAAAAAATATACGGACACCCTGAGTGCCGAAATTTTTAACTGTAATTTGATCCAGAATTTTTGAAGTTTAGATTATCACACTGTCTTTGCTTTACACCATTTAAGTACTCTTCATGAATTATGAGAATCTGCACTAAGGAAACATGTAGGTCAAAAATACCAAAACATTGTAAAATTTACCGTGTTTTTGACACTATGAGAACAAGAAAGTTTTTGGTGATTTTTACCGAAGCACTTTAGGATTTCGGTAAAATAACAATAAAATATGACTTTATAATATATGGTAAAATTTGGCTATTTTATCATGATATCTAAGAGCATGGCATGAAAACCATTTATAAGTTTAAATTTACTTTTAAGTTTTGCATTTTTCACTAAATGCGTGGTAATGAGATGCATAATTTGGAAAACCGTTACCATATGAACGGAAAAATTACTGAATGACTAGTCACTGCTAGAAGCCGCAACTAATTACCGAATGTTTGGATTTTTATTACCAGAATTATGGATTTATGAGCGAGAATATCATAATCATGCAATATATATTTACTAAAATTTTATTGATTTTTTTTCTCTGATAAATATGTTTCCACGTAGTCTTTTTAAATCTCTTTTCATCTAATAAAGAAAAACATATTAAATTATTATGATGCATATCTTTACAGCATGCACTCTACTGAAATATTTTATTAGTTTTCATCAATGGTTGTAATTATTTTAAACAATATAGTAAGAATGCTCAACAGCACGCCAGGGATTTATTTAATACAAGTTGGCAAAATATCCAAGATAAGTTATCAGGCAAAAGAAACAAGGCATCATGTTTGGGAAAAAATAAGTTTCTAAAATAAACTCTGACTGCTGATCAACGAAGATATGTTGCTTCTAAAGTTAAGTGCCAAGTGATGGTTGCTTCCAGAATCCATACTGGCCAACTACAAAATTCTTAGGCTATCTGTAAGGCTATCTGTAATTTAGGCTATCTGTAAATAAATATAGTCTTTTTGTAAAATTTGGTTAATCATCTAAAAATTATTTCCTACCTTCAAAATAGATCATGGAGGAAATAAAATTTAAAAATCATTTAATACTTTTGTATAATGTAGCATTTCTAAATAAATATAAATTTTAGTATCAGTTTTAAGTGTTGGTATTTCAATCAACTATTTAAAGGTTAACGTTAAAATCACAATAACCCGCAATTTATTCAATTTTTGTACTTGATTTAATATTTTTGTGTTATTGTCAAAAATGCAATCAGTTTTTCTCCATCAGTTTCGATATTAAATCTTTGCTGTGCCACGAAGTAGGAAAAAATGCAAATTTTAGAACCAACATAAGTACATGTGTAAATTTTAAAGTGATTCAAATGCATTTAGTATACTAACTTCAAATCAGATATAAATTTGTCATCGATATATATAAAATAAATGTTCTTTCATTTTATTTGATAGACTCAATATGCTTTGAATCACCACAATTTAAAAATGTGTTAAATGTACAAAATAATTGTACCGTATACAATTTACGTAAGTTTAAAAATAATGATAAATTTGAGGAAAGAAGAAGATTGATTTGGAGCTTGAATTGATTGAAATTTTAATAAATTTAAAATTACTATAATATGGATGTTAACAATAACGTTAGAATAAATTGTAATTCTATGCACGCTACAGCTGGAAAAAAATAGAACAATATTAGCCTGTTTTTCCTTACAATTTACAATGTACAAGAATACCCCATTTATTGCTAATATTTGAAAATAATAATGTACAATAATATAAATAAAATAATACAAAACAATTGATGCAGCTTCATTTAAATATTTAAGGTATCTGTTAAAAACCATATCGAGGAAAGTGAAGATCGTTATTTGAAAAGCTGTTCATAATTTCCTGATACATTCAAAAAATCCTTCAAGTGTTCATTATTTTTTTTTTTTGATAAAAATTCAATATTGTAAAAATAATTTAGTTCCTGGTTCTCTCTTTTTTTACTTTCAATACACGATATGCGTTTTTTTCTTTCAAAAATTCTGAATACAAATAAAACAATTCTAATCACTAGTATGAATACATGTATTAAATATATGGTATAGAATATGATAACCAAATTTTAAGTAATATTGGGTTCGGCATACGCAACTGCTGAAATAGTTAAGGGCACCAATTGCTTTTTATGTTTTCAAGTAAAAATATTATGTAATAAATTGAATGAAAAAAAAAACTTTTTTATCATGTATAAAACTACTTTGTTTTTAATCTTCTTTAAAGCAAAGTAACCACATTTTAAAGTGATTACTACTGAAAACTTAAGGCATTTTATTAGCTTAGTCTGTCCTAACTTTTGAAACCAATTTTATTCTTACTGCTTTTAATCACTTTCGAAAGAAGATTCGAACTTAGAATAGATAGTTTTATGATGTAATAACCGTCTTTTTTAAGGATCATTTTTCGATACATTAGATACATGCATTAGATATTTATATACGTAAGTTACTTATATATCTATGAGTTATTTATAGTCATATACATATTGTACTTTCATTTTAATGCATTTACAGTAAAACAGCATATTTTTTTTAATCGAAATATTGTTTTTTGTTGAATTCCAATTTTAAACAAAATTCTAATTAAAATCTTTTATATCAAAACAAAATAGTCTTCTTGATGTAGATTTATTAGCTATCAAATTTCATTCTTTATTAAAGTTATTGAATAGTTTAAACAAGTTTCACTAATAATAAATTATTTGTGGGGTAAAAAATATTTTCAATATTACCCTTCAGATATTAAACATTAGAACAAAATTTACATATGAGTGAGATTAAAATCGATTCAAAGCTTAATTGATACACAAGCTTAAACAATAGTTTATTAATTATTAATTTTTCATTTAACTTTCATATGTTCCTAAGGCCATTAAGTTTATTGAAGACTAATAATGAATGTTTAATTTGAAATCATAATATATCATTATGACAAAACTTACTAGTGCTAGATATAATTTTCATATTAATAAAAGCATGTAACATGCTGAGTCAAACATATTTTTAATTTGTTTTAATTATAGGTCAACAAAGTAGAGATACGCCATTTATTAAAATGTGGTTAAAAAATACAATAACAACAAAAATAAATTTTCTTAATAATAAAATATATTGCGACAATATTTTCTTTAGTAGCCCAATGCTGTAAATTTTTTTCAGATCAAATTACGGTAAAAAGTACCAGCACTCAGCGTGTCACTACTTTTTACGTAAAATCCATTTTTACTGGAACATGTTATGGAACAAAAAATCTGAGTAAACTATAATTTTTACAGTAATTGCAGTAAAGTAAATCCAATTAAATAAATACTACCGTAAATATTTCGGTATAATATTTTACGGTAAAATGGATTTTAGGAATGAACTCAAAGTGCTCGTACTTTACACCGTATTTGATAAGGAATTTTTACAGTGTGAAAGAGCATTCCAAACCTTCGAAAATGATTTATTCTTCTAAAATCAAGTAATATTTATATAGTAATTATAATATTGTTAAATGTATAGCTAACACTGAAATGCAATTATACTTAATGTATTGAAGTACTTCGTTATAATTTTATAAATTGCTGAACTCATTCGTTTTTTTTTTAATTTAGTGTAAATTAAATTAAGTATATCATTAGTATTTTATTGAGTGTTAATTCGTATATATTGATCTTCAAATAAAGGAAAGATAATTAAGAGAATACTATATAGTTGAATTAAATACTCCAACACTAAAATCTTCATAAATGCCCTAAAACGTACCTGTCATAGAAAAGAAAAAAAATAGAGGTTCCAGACATATACTGCAATTTTTCCTGTAAAATTATCCAGTAAAATAAAAAATAATTCAGGGTACTCATTGAGGGTACACTGCAAATACTCTGGATCAAATTATGGTAAAAAGGACTTAAGATGCCTGCACATTTCACGGTAAAATCCATTTTTACCATAACATGATTTGAACATAAAAATACGATGTACCGTAATTTTTACATAGTTTTTGTAAAATCATTGAATCCTCTTGCTTAATGTTACTATAAAAATTACAATGTAATATTTTTCGGTAAAAATGGATTTATGGTAAAAATGGATCTTACGGATGATGCTCCCAAAGTTCCTGTACTTTATATTGTAAATTGATCCATAATTTTTTACAATGTAAATCGTTCCTGATATATAAATAATTAGATAATACAGATATATAGACGATAAATTCATTACCAAAAATATTTTCAATTCATATATAACGCTTTTTAAACATAGAAACGATTATTAAAGAAGTGAATTAATTAATAAAAAAATTCTTCGAAATTATAATGTGAAACTCTTATTTTTAGTGATAGATTCGTTTGGCAAATTATCAGGAGGAATGCTAGAGGGAATAACATCTGCACTTGGTGACTACGATGAGTGCCTGGATGTGATAATCGGTGGTAAAAAGAAAAGGAAATTTCGTACTGGAACATACTGTATGTTGGAAATCAAGCCACCTGACTCCATACTTACAGCCATCAAAGAGGTCCAGATCAATAAGAATAACAGTTTAATGTCTACACATCTAAAGGACCCGGTAAGAGTTAATATTTTTTCAACCCATTCTTTCTGTACAGCATAACTTCTATTATTTTAAAATACATTGTACAGTGCACAAATAAACGGACCACTCTGCATAACTTTTGATTTCTAGGACTCAATCTTAAAGGCTCGAGAGTGTGACCTAAAATGTGTTAATTAATAAAAGCAGACGATGCTTTAAAATACGAAACCAGACGCAAAAATGTACTTTCTCTGTATAAACATATATTTTTTTAGGCAGAATCGGATTACTGATCCCCAAAATATAAAAGGTAAAATATAGGAGGCAATCTGGGAAATATGGTCAAAATAGTTTAGTCAGGAGAGTGCTCAAAAAGTTTAGACTACTTAATGTGAATTTTACTTTTTGCTTATTTCGCTATATCTCGAAAACTTTTATAGCGAAATAAAATAAAAATTTCAGCACCCAAATATAAAATGTGTTTATTCAAAGATAATTTGATGCAAAAAAATAACTTTTAGTAAAGATTTATTATTTTTTTATTTTATTTAATGAGGGTCGTAAAATTTTTAATTACAATTTTTTGCGTTATTTTAAAGAATATAATTTTACACGGCAAAATACAAAATTTGTGCAAAATCTGTTAAACAGCTTTTGAGAAATTGAGTTTTCAAAAAGTCAGATCTTTAAAATTCGCTTTCGCATTTGCTATTTTCCCTCAATAGTTTCAAAATAGTCATTTATCTGCAATAGCATTCTAATCAGTTTACCAATGTGTTAGCTTCTTTTCAAGTACTTTGCTTAATGTTCCTAATTGATTTGCGCTTCATGCAACTTTTACCATACTCCGATTTTCAATCCAATTGCTCAATTTATATTCTCCTTAGAATTCCATTTGTCTGTCTGAAGCATCACAAAGCTAGCTTTTTCTTTTATCTAGGTACCATTTTTTTCGACAACGGTTCAACGCACTGCTTCTTAACTGGTACTCTCGCTACAGATTTTGTTTTTTTCAATTTATGTGACTTGTCCTTAACGTTTGTTGCCTTTTTTTTGTAGTAACCCCTATATTTGGTTTTAACTTTTTATTTCTGAGAGACTTGCTGAGAACTTTTGATGATCTTTTGTCTTAGTGCCAGCATGATGTCTCAGATTTGAAATTTTGTTTCCAATATATACTTTATTTTCATCTGTATTACAGTACTATCTCGTACTAAATTCCCTACTTCTTTTTTTCTGTACTGATGATTCCCTACTTCTTCTTTACGATAACGCTGATTTGCCTACACTTTTCTATAGTGCCACATCACTAATCTTTCCATCACCGCTTTCCGCTTTTGTTGTTTTCTACCTATGCATCTTTCAAAAATTTTTCTGTCACCTTTTTCAACCATATAGTCATTTATCGTATTATTATTTCCTGTTGTAAACAACATGTTGTTAGCGGGCGGAGGATCCTAGAACAGCTCACCTTGAAATCTAAGAAAAGATAATTCGGGGAGATTATTTTGAGCATCTGATCACACCACCAAAATTCTTAAACCTTATTGGTTATTTGATGTCTATACCTACGCGAAAGTTGGATTCCGTAAGAAAAATGGTGAAAGGGTTTATTTTTTCGACATTTATGCTTCTGATCTCTTGCGGTTAGAATCATCGTTATTATTTCAGTTTTTAACCTTTACTTCATTTATTACCGTTATTGTTTCATTTTTAATTTTTTTTGTGCTGTACCATTTGAAAATAATTTAAATTGTTTTTAAATAATCAAAAAGCGACGTTGATCCCAGTAATAATCGTCAACTTGGCGAAAACGGCGAAATGTTGGTTGAAAATGGCGTGCGAGTGGACGAGTGGATTTTTAACTTTATTGAATGCAAAAGTAAAGAAAGCAATAATTGAATGGTGTGTGAATCCAAATTTAACTTCGAAAACGTATGAATGTCAAAGATGAGTCATCTGAGTGAAGGTAGGTTATTTTTTATTCCATTAAAAATATTTTGATAAATACGTAATAATTAAAAGTGTTTTTTGTTAATAATTAAAAAGCAACATTGATCCCAGTAACAATCGCCAACTTGGCGAGATTTCAAGAAGTCGCCTAGAGGTGAGCTATTCTAGGATTTTATCGTTGTTAGTCCACAAATATGCGATATCATAGAGTGTTTCTAGATACAAGTCATATTTTTTAATAGCAGCTATTCTGTTTTGTAGTCTCTCTTAGCAGTTCCGTTGTATCCGCCATTGTCTTTATTCTTGAGTCAACCAACGATTTCACTATTTTCTGATTCATTCAAAGTTGTATTTTCTCCTGGTTGCCCAATTCTTTTTTTAATATTTTCAGAAGTTGAGTCCGAAATCTAGTATTTACTTTAAGAACCTCTGGTACTAATGCATCAAATACCTGCTTTATCTCATTTACCACTGAAACTCTAGGCATATTTGTCTTCTTTTTGGTACCTTGATCTCCCTCAGAATTACTTTTTATAACACTATATGTACAAATGTATATCCTTTCCCCAAGCATAACATTTTGGTGATGATTGCAAGTTCTTTTACATTTCGTATGAGCACTTGTATTAACTTCTTCGGTGGTTTTCTTCGAGCTCGTACCTTAGCGACGATTCCATTTGTTCCTAAGAAACTCGCATTTATTTTCGGACTTTAAATTTTCGTGATTTCGGTACATCTCCACTGACTGGTGAATTGAAAATTCATGAATTCTTCTGATCTCTCACCGAATGACTGGCAAGCCACTACACGTCAGTCACTGAATTGTGGCATAATGTTGAAGCTGCATAGAATGCTGACCCATCCATGCTACCCAATGTTGCCAGGGGAGGCTGCTTTGAGTACTGATTCCTCAGGATATATATATGAAAGGGTAGCAGTCATGGTGTTGTTTTCAATATTGTCAGGAATATCTCGGGATAGCATGTCAGCTTCAAAGTTCAAGGTGCCTTTTGTGTATTTTATATCATAATCATACATACTTAATAGTAAAGACCAGCGGAACAATCTGCCTTTCAGATTTTTAACATTTTTTAACCAAACTAAAGCCGCATCATCTGTATGTATGGTAAATTTATTTCCAAATAAATAGTGATAAAATTTGTTTAATGCATCAACAATAGCAAGACATTCCAGTTCTGTGATAGCATAATTTTTCTCATTGAAAGGATAGCAGTCATGGTGAGTGTTTTTAGGCCACGCAGATAGCAGTTGGAAGGAAAAAAATATTTTATTAGCTTCACATAGTATATTTAAGACATTTTCTAGCAAAGGCGGAGCTCAAATTCGCACTCAAAAACTGTGTGCTTAAGTTTTAATCTTAGGGAAAGTAGCAAAGGAATTTCCCTCTATTTTATTATATTTGAGGGGAAAAGGGAAATCCCAAGGATTACTATTGGTTTATGAAAGAGATCGAGCGTTTCCCACACAGAGCAAAGGGAAATATGTCCTGCTCTTAATTAAATGCATAGTTGAGCCAAAAATAGATTTAAGAACAGGATGTGGCTTTTAAAAGTGTGAGAAAGTATTTCNTATATATATATATTAAATATCATGATTTTAATAAAAAGTTTTTAAAAAAAACGAAAAAAACGACTGTCTGGAAAAATATTGTGGAAAATAAATTTCGAGATTTAAACGATTTCATGTTATAGCGAAAGCCTTATATTTAAAATGATTTTCTTTGATGAGGAAATGCGTTATTCATAAACTTTCCTATACACTTTTAGCATGCACTGTTTATAACTCTTCCGGTGTTTTCTGAATTTCCGCATTAAATATTTATCGAAACACTATTCAATAAAATTCATATGTTAAAATAGGATGTTATATGCTATTTGCATAATATAGGCAAAGATTATAATTGTTGCTTTCGTTAGTTATTAATCAATTTCTTTTATTAAGGATAAACTTATTTGAGCCGCACGAAATGCAATACAAAGAAAATATAGACAGTAATTAAATTTTTTGTACAATAAATGCTGACTAAGTATACATAATAAAATATTTTAATTACCATATTAAATAATTTAAATTTTCCATTAATGTCTTATAAGAATTCTTTGTATTTGTATGATAGCATTACACAAATGCTTTAAACTCTTTGATTCATTGTTGATAATTACAGAAATTATAATAGCATAGCTTTTACTATTTTTTCGCACCTTTATAACATTTCAAGATGTAATAATAACAGACCCTATTACTTAAAAACAAATTTAGGAATGCAAATATTTATTTTTTTTAAATCACTTACAAAACAATTAAGTATATAATCTTAGTATTAAAAAATTGAGTGTTAAAAGTTACATACAATTTTCAGTTTAGTTTTTATAAATTTCTGTTTCGAATCTAAAGCAGTAACTTTAAAAGTCGGTGTTAAAATAAACACGAAAGCGTCAATACGTTTCGAACTGCTCTAACAAACAGTAAAAGACGACCACCAGAGAAATGAATGCGAAATGTGCAAACAATTTGCTTAATTAACGCTCTGATATATTCAAACAAATTGGTGCGAATTATAAAGCATTAAATAATTTGAAACATATCAGTTTATTCTTAATCACTGCAAACATTACGAACTAATATAATATGCTATAGAAAAAATAAGTTATATAAAACAAATAATAGAATTATTTCTTCATTTAAAAAATTTATAAGATTAAGTATTGAGTGTAATTTATTTAAAAACAATTGTGAGATGTATATCATAATAACAGTGAGATCAAGTTGTATAACTAGTATTATGTGTTATACTAATGATAAATTTTGCGTTAAAAATTCATAAATCAATTTATTTACATGCAAACTTCAATATTACATTTGAGATATTACATCCTCAGTGAAAAATACAGAAAACTGGTGATGAAAAACATTACATATGAGCAGTATATTGAAAAATAGTAAATTTTTTACTCCACAAAGTGCTTTTGTAATGTTTTTCATTGTCATATTTCCGTATTTAAAATTATACATTAAAAGGTATTTAAAAGCATACATTTAAAGATATACATTTATATGTATTGAAAGGTATAAAGTTATATTTCTTAAGAGATACTTTAAAGGTGATGTTGCAATGAAGCATTAAAAATACTACACAAATTTAACTGTTGAAAAATATAAGAGTTATAATTTTTAATGTTGAGACATTTCTTTCTATATTACAAAGTTTTTACGCTTCTTTATATTAGTGAAATACTATGTAAGTAAAAAATATTTGTCTACAAAGACAAACCTTTTATTAAAAATATAAACTATCCAATTGAAAAGCAGATACTTCAAAGCAGATATTCTCTGTTGCAGATATTTCAAAGTCTACGAAGGGTTCGAACAAATCCTGATCATATAATGTTCCGATTGGGCATTTGTATGCCATCTTCTTGCAGTGTTAACGATGTTCAAAACCTTATTGACACAGGTAAGTATAAATATTGATTTTCCGCAAAATCAGTTCCGTAAAATCAGATTTCTCATGATCAGCAAGCTTGATTTATAACTCAATATTAAATTTGAAATTTGTATATTTTTAAATTGCCTAGAAGTTTTAAAATGAAGTATGCAACATTTTTAGCAATAGGAATAATTTTTATTAAAAACTAAGCAACAAGGCATAGTATTTTTATAAGTATAACATATGTTATATAATACGTTTTTTTATGTCTAAACAAGATGCATAGCATATTTCAAACTTTCTATGTAATTTCTTTATTTTACTATACATACTAGAGGTATGAGTTTATCAAAGACATTTTATAAATTTAAAATGATCTTATATATTTTAATTCTAATAATTGATTACAATTTTTATTTAAGTTTGATGCTGTGTACAAAAAAACTCCTTAAAAGTTCCTATGGTTACGACCATAATACTATATATACCTACTATTTATACGTTGCAAAAGTACTGCTCGCTTAATGAGTTATTGAGATGATTCATCTCCCCGTTCAAATTGAATCAGAGAAGCATTCAAGGAATTATAAGAAGTGAAATAACATAATTCTACTCAGAATCAATATTGAAGCAAACCTGAATGATATTATGGATTGATGCTTCAAAATTTCTTATTAGTTCAGACGTGCATTTAACTGTTTTATGGGATATTTTAAAGTTTCGTAGAATTTAAGAAAGTCAGTACAAAAACTATGTAAAAAATATGCTCAAAACTACCAGAGTATGGCAAGATTTACCGTGTTTCTGGCTGTATTATAACTACGAAAAGCTCGATAATTTTTACGAAAGCACTTTGGTAATGATTTTGGTAAAATTAAAAATCAAATATGGTTTTATATACAATTATAATGTTTTATAAAATTTGGTAATAATAGAATAAATACTATTTATAAAGTTACATTTACTTCTCAGTTTCGTATTTTTTACTAAATGTGAAGTAATAAGAGCAAAAATTTTGAAAACCAGAATTTTTTGTAAATCACTACCCTATGAACGTTTAAATTACCAAATGATTGATTTAATTACAGTATATTTTGGTTTTATGAACCAAAATTAAGGTTTTTTTACTAGAAATCTCATTACCATACAGTATGGTAACTTGAACCGAATTTGTTCTCCTGGTGGATATAATTCACTTTTGGTTGTGGAGGCAAATTTTACGCTTACTCTATTACTTCAAGTTGTTTTCTTTTCCAATCGCTTTTCAATTTTACGTTCGTTAATTAATTTTTATCTAAGTTAATTATTTCATTACCATGAAGTACGTTAATTTTTCAGATTTTTTTTCTCCTTGTAACATTTTGAGTGAAATTATAAGTATAAATTCTCTTGTATATTATACTGACAACATATATTTCAATTTACAAGATGATTATAATTTTTTCAAGGTATTGACATAGCTGAAATGAAAGGTCGTTTACCAGTGCATGTCAGCCATTGTGATGCAAAAGTGGGATATTATTATCAACCTCATGAGATTTTAATTTTGTAAGTATACTCTATTACATTAATCGTTTATAGTGTGATTCGACAAGTTTTGTAATACTTCCATTGAACTTATGATGGTTTTTCATTAAAAGGATATTTTTTCTATAACATCAAAGCTAAAAGATTTTTAAAAAAATGTTTTTATATGATGATTGTATTAATTAAAATTGTTATGTATTTTTTTTTAACTTTTAAAGAGTTACACGTTAAAGCATCTAATATTAGTACAAAATAGATACTGAATATATAAAAATTTTCTCTAATATCTGACCTATAAATTTTATTAACACTGACATAACAGCAATTTTGCTTTTATAATAATGATATATTTTACTATATAATGATCTAAATGATTGAGTTTCTACAGATTTACACTAAAAGGCTATTGTGCTTGTTCAAGTTTGCCGAATTTAAAAAATAGCTTTATTTAAATGTAGATGCATTGATTTTTACATCAATTAGAATTTAAAGTAATTAAAATAATATATTACTATATTTTATGCCTTATTTTAATTAAGTTAGGTCAAATCAAATTTATCCACCTTTAATTACCTTTAATCTTTTTTCGGGGGGGGGGGGGATTGTAATCTTAAGACAATTTTTTTCTGAGGATTAATCACAGTATATGATATATTTGGATTGAGCCATGATGGCTCAGTAGTAAAGGCACTGAGCTGTAATTATGAAAAAAAAACCCTGCTGCGGCTTAAAGCCACCCAGCTTCAGGTTGAAGGATTCCTGCGTATCTGGGAAGCAAAGAGTGTGCAGTGCTGGCCATATTACCACAATCACTCCATTGAACTGCTGAGCCTTAACCTCCATGGCCCAATAATACCAACGGGCTGTAGTGGAAATTCTTTTTTTAAGCATATTTCGGTTAGGTGCTCTTAATTAAGTGCAAACTTATTGACGAAAATGCAATGAAAATACCACATTGTGTGAGATTTATAATTTTATTTTTAGTTTTAAAATGTGATATTGAACATTAAATAATCGAATATTAAAATCTATACTTCATTTATTAGCCTTTTTCATAGACGAATATTCTATCCTAAGAAATTTACATTAAAAAAATCCCTTCGATAATAATTAATTGTTTATCACAACATTTTTGCTATAATAAAACAAGTTGTTTTACTATTATTGTGTAATTTAATTTATTTTAGAAAACAGCTGTTATAAGAAAAAGTATATTGGTTTTCATCTATGAGAGAAATCTGAAAATTAAATTAAAATTTCCTAAATGTTTTTCATTATTATGGGCTATGTATTAATTTATCTTGTCTTTTGAAACTTTTATTTTTTTCAGTTAAACTACTTCCTAATATTTTCACGAATTTCTTTTCACATATTGTTTGAGATATATAATCTATTCCAAATAGAACCTTGAAATAAAAATATGGAAAGTTTTGCTCAAATTTCATATGTTAGTCTATATTTACTTCATTTTCACCGTTATTTGCACAGTAATATTTATTTAATTAGATCCATTCAGTGATTTTACACACCCTGAGTACTGGTAATTTTTACCGGAATTTTTTACACGGTTGTCTATGATGGGTATCTCGATAGTTTTTACACCGATTATTCCAATTCAAGTTAACTCAACTTTTAATAAACAACAACAACTTTGAGTTCAAGCTATTCTTTAAACTTGCCTGTCGATCTATCTTTAGTCGTTATATTTCTTATGCAGGTCATCGATTCATTTGAATTCTATAACATCCTCCAGGGTAATTTAAGCCACCGGGATGGCTTTGATTGCTTATGCTGAATATATTTTGAATGCTGGTTTTAGCAACACTGTAAGCTATAAAAATCAATAACGGACACTATTCCTTTAAATTTGAATTTGCTTGCTAAATTTAATCATGAAATTTAGCATCTTGAACTTTGTAATATAAATAGGATAACTAAAAACTAAAACTGTAAAAAAACTACTTACAGTTGTATTTGTGTTAATAAACGTTTTGAGTAGTATATGCCCCCATATTTCAAACTTTTGAAAGTCAATCAACAACATACATAAACCAATTACTGATTTTTTACTGGTGGTTTAAGTTACCCCATACTGCGATATAACTTAGACTAACATTTATTTTTTTTAGCATGTATATTTCAGAAAACTTTTAGATAGGTAAAAATTGAGCTTAACTGTAAATCCAAACTTTCGGATTTACAGTAGTCTCTAAAGTAAATGTTCTTTAATTAGCAAATATTTTAGAATGAAAAGAGGAACAAGTAATCTCAAATGAGTGTAGGCAATTTTTGTTCTTTTATCTTAATGGAAGTTTTATAAATAATAAACGTAAAAACTTTTAATAAAAAATGGATATTATAAAATTTACAAATGAAAATTAAAGAATTTATAGCAGAAAAAATGAAGTCTGTTCTACAGCAAAAAATAGTTATCAAAAAGGATTATAATAATGAATGATTAATAATAATGAAAGTAATGATCGTTTGGCTATTTGTGTTTGTGACGTTTTACTCTATGAATGCATTGCTATATCGATCAGTCGACATAACAGAACTGAAAATATAGTTTTCTATCATAAATGGTAATTTATTGACTCACAACTAGAATCAATCTTTTAATATGCTCTTTCTTGAAAATAGGTCCCGCAATGGACTGATCGATAAGACACGGTTCCCAGCAGATCACCGAAGTCAAGCATCACTGGCTACGGTCAGTATGCGGGTGGGTGACCACTTGAATCAGTCTGCGTAGGGACTGAGGGTGTGCGGAATTGGTCCTCGTTAAACTGTGCTACCGTAAAGTGCTCGACTTCGCGCGCAGGTCGTCGGGCTACCGAAGCGGGGGTGCCATCCCCTCCGCAGAGGATCAAAATTGTGATGGCATGTCTTCGGATCATCCTCCGGGATGTTTCCCAGACCGTCGCCAATAGCCCATTGTGCAGCTCTAGTGCGACGTAAATTAACAACAACAACAAAATCTTGAAAATAGGAAATATTTTCATAACCTCATGAACTAATAATCAAATGTCTTTAACACTGAAAATGAGAAAAAATAGAAAACTTGAACATCCTTAGTAACATTTGATATTTTATCAGATTTTCCTGTACCACCACACGTTGTTCTAAAGATTAAAAGAGTTGACCGAAAATAGGATAATTAATTAATAAAAAAATATTTAAGTTTGATTATTCAAAGAAAGTACATTTTTGTAATTGATATACATATTTTTTTTCTTAATTTAAAATCCCTTTTGTACTAATTAAATCCCATATTTCTGATTTTCCCACTGTGCTTTAAATATTGAGCATTAGTACGTGAAAGTCTGATTATTATAATAAAAATTCTGTTAGGGTGTTTTGCGAACTTTTCCTCATCTAACAATCTAATCTTTGCATTGACTCTTCAGTTCTTTCTTATAAGACTTTCTCATTCTTTAATAATTTTAATAATGCAATTTCCAATTGTTTGTCATATTTTTCATACTAGTGAATTGAAAAGTTCCATTAAGTTTCTTATTTTCAAGCAACACTATTTCATTAATAAAATTGTGGACCAAATTTTTAGATGCATTTATAGAAATACTTGATTTTGTCTAATTTCAATACTGAAAATAGTTTAGCTCCTAAAGCTTTTTTAAATGACATTTAAGTTTATTTTTTGTCGAAATGCCCAAGTTTAAAAGCTTAACAGCACCCCTGGCAGTGTGAGTTAACATTTCCGAGCATAGGTTCCATTGCAATTTTTGCTCCTGAGGATTTGCCCTAACTTTCTTAGATATTTATCGCAACATTTACGTTGTTACCTGTTAAATATAAAGTTTCTAAACTTATGCATTTCGACAAAAAAATAGACTAAAAAGGACATTTATAAAAATATGTTAACTGGGAGTGAGAAACCGATTGAAGATTTGAAATCAATGATACGAAATTATATTAAATATCTCAAAATCTGATGCAATAGAAAAAAAAGGCTGTTCACAGTTAAATCAAACATTCAATAACTCTATACCTCATTAAAATAGAGTTTAATAACAAGTTCGATAGTGTAATTTTTTATGAATACCTTTTCCTTAAATTGATATATTTTTCAATGCAATCAAATAGTTTTTTAGAAGGCAAAGTTAAACAATCCTTATATCATAACCTATAATATTAAATTAGAATCAATAAGTTTTTCTTCACACACCCACATTTTTTAACTTCAACAGTATGGAATTGCTTAGGCTTAGGGGAAACAATGGCATCCATATAATTTTAAATGACAAGTGTCAATTAATTTCGCTCCTAGATAGTGGACTAATATTTGGAACTCTTTTAATTCCAGTTGTCTAATAGGTGTGTTCCTCATCATAGCAGTGATTGGAACTATTGTTGCATTCTTAAAAAATATCTGGTACTCAGACAAGGACTCAAATTCAAACGTCGAAACGAAAGGTAATGATTTCCATCTTACCAAAACCATAGATAAGATACAAGGGTCAGAACATTTAAGGTAGTAAGATTTCCTTTCGAAACTTACAATTCATTATATTATAAAGCGGGATAATATTCAAGGATAATTTCCAATATTTTCATACTTAAATCAATTAAATAACATTATTATTCTTTGAGAGAGTTAAAGATTGATATTAATTAAAGTTCCAAAAAGTTTGATTTTAGCTTTTGAAAAGTTAGAATTTCAGAAAAACACTAGAAATATTGGGATAACTTTAATTAAAATTGTTATTTTATTCCGTCATTTTTAATAACAGCAATTATATTATCAATAAAAATAATATTATAATTATTATTAATAATTGAAGTTGTCAACGGAATAGAGAAATTTTAAAACATTGTAAGTAATAAAAAATCATCATCTTTAAAGGTTAAAACTTTTAATGTCGATCAGCTAACTGTAAATTAGGAAAATATAACCTAATTTTTATCATTTTCTTATGAAAATAACTTCTTAGCAAAGTTTTATCGGAAATAATTTTTTCACATAATAACATAAATAACTTGACAAAAATGCTAAGTTAGCTATCATATTATTTCACAATACATATGGTTTTTTAATGATAATTTTTGCAAACATTGAATATTTAAAAATAATAATTATTAGATTTATTATTTTAAGCAGTTAAAATAACTTTAAAAGTATGAAAAAAAGAATATATTAAGTAATTTATGAATTTAACGCAGTGCTACTAAATTCAATTGCTTATAAGCAAGTTAAAAATAAAGAATTCTTTTTTTCCCGCCCATTTACTATTCTGTCTCAAACCTGCGCTTATCTCCTTCTTAACTTATCTTTCAAGGTATTTTAATTTTATAGTTTATATACGTACCACCCCTGCTCACAGAGTTCGCTAAACTTGATAACAGCTTTTGCAGTCTCTTTTATACTGCTTCGCAATTTGAGCTCGTTTTGATCACTCATTGAATACTTTTTTATTATTTTAGTTTAGCTTTGTATCTCTACTGGTCTTCTTTTTTAAATGAAGTCCTGAACATACACAACTTATACAATCTATGAAAATTTTGAGTTATGTACATTTCATTGAAGTTCAACTGCTTTATTGATTTAATGTATTTTACTGCTACATAAAAATTACTTAATTACTAAACCAAATAATTCCTCCAACTTGCTTATATGGGAAACTATAAATTTTAAGTATTTCAAATTACAACCGTTTCAAATATGTTATTCCAGCATTAACTCTTAAAATGTATGAGAAACAAAGAAAAGGAAGAAGAAAAAACGTAGCTGGTACATCTTTGCTAATAAAATTCATATCTCTTCTTTGTTAATAATGAAACATCATTAAAATTAAAGCTCAATTCTAAATTAATATTTTATCTTTGTAAATTAATAGCTCAATTAAAACAAAAATAGAATTATTTGTTTTCATGAAATTCTTTCCCTTTAACAATTTATTTCTACTAAACTTATAGCTTTCTGTTGTCCAAGCAAGAAAAGAATTTTCATTCAGAAATTTATAATCATGCACGTTTAAGTTCTCATACTTAGGATAGCTTTCACGATTGATATATCAGTTCTCTGTTGACGATACAAAAATGAAATTTCGTTATTTTTTTAGCATTACACGCATTATTGTTTTTGGTAATGTAGATAGGTGGAATTGTTTAGTGACTGAAATTTTAGAAATTGTGACAAAAAAACCTTTTAACCATCTTTATTGATTTTATTGGAACAAAAAGGCATAATTTAGTTACGAGAATTGTTTACCTTACGTGTTTTGTACCCATTTATCTCATCTCTTTTTAAAAGGTATTAAATATTTATGTTGACATTTTTAAACCATTAAAATTATATTTTATCGAACAAATAAGACAGACAGTAAATATTAGCTTATTATGTGCTCTAAATATGAAAATAAAACAAGTTATATTAGTATAAATAAATCACAAGGATTGTTTACCTTGTAAGTTTTGTACTACCTGCTCACTGTTTGAATAACTTTAATTAAACATTGCAAATTATAACCTTAAATAAAAAGAAAATAAAAACATACAGTAAATATTTAAATTCTTTTCTTAATCATGCAAAGTTTGTATTAAATTATTCGCTGAACGATAGAAATGATTAAAATTATAATTTCTGATATTTTTCGGCATTTAAATTATCATAATTAAGCTCATTTAATCAAAATATCGACTACTCTCTCAAATTGTCAACAAATAAATCGAATTGTCTTTTGTGTGTTGTATCAGCTGGATTAAGTTTTACCTACTGTTAATCAAAATATTTAAATGAGTAGAAGATTAACTATCTCTTTTTCATAAAGAAAAACAATTTTTTGCTATGAATTCACACAAATGAACTTTTACAAAACAAACACACAAACACAAAAACAAACGGAGTAAGGTACTTTTTGCAGCAATGATAGCTGATTAAAATAAAACCGAGTTGGTGAAGTTAGTTTCTAGTGTCTTTAAGCGTTTCTAATTTTTATTTATTTATTTATTCATTTATTTTTGTCTGAACACTTTCTCAAATTTGTATTTTTAAAGATAATACGTTTGAGACTAATATTTCCAGATTAAATTTTAAATAATTTTGGCCCCAGTTTTTTTTCTGAAAATTACAATAAACTATAAAATAGTCATCTTGCATTTATCCATATTTCTTATATTGCTCATAATATCTTCTCATAATATATTTTATGACACTGGGGAACACTTTTGTTTTTGTTTTCTATTGTATGAGATTTTTTTAACAGATCTTAGATATTTTCTTATCACAGATTTCAATTCTGCAATCGGTTTCTCCCAGTAATGCACACGTTTATAAACATTACATGCAACAGAGGATCACATAAATGTTGTGATGAACGTCTAGGAAAGTTAGGACACATAATATCAGGATTGAAATTGCATCGGGACACATGTCCTGAAATGCCGTCATATACTGTTAAAATTTTCATTCTGAAATTATAGTAAAATAACTGGCAGCTATCCGTCTATCCAATTAACTGTAAAGTTTACGGTAAAGAACATTTTTTTTCTTCATGGTTTTGAAACCATTTACGAAAAGTATGGCTATAAAACCATGAATACAAAACTATACGTTTTTTTTAACCATTTACAGATAGCACTTTTCAAAAACGTTAAAAAAAAGTAGTTATTTAACTAAACATAGAAGCTCGTCGTTTCGTAAGGTGATGGACATAGGAGAGTGTAGAACTAAGTAGCTTCATTAGGTCATTCTAGTTGGAGCGATAAAATTCTGGTTGTTTAACCGTATTAGGTGAGAGCAGTTAATAAAAAGCTTTTCTCAATAGCAACAGTTAAAAAACAGTTTTTTTTTCAGTACATTTTGGTAGTTGAACCGTGTTAAGCCGCCGATGAAAACAATCAATAAACTGTTTTTCTCACATTTAACAGTTGGATTACCATTTTATTTATAGTTATTTGACTGTTTTGATTAAATATGGTAAAATAACCATTCAATAAATTGTTATTTAACCATTTTTCCGAGAAATTTCTAACAGTGTATGCTCAGAAATTCCATCATGCACCACTTCCTATAAACTGTTTCTTAAACAGTTCATAGTAGGGAAGCGAACTTATGGAAACGCCGCGTATGTCGATATTTCCAGGCATGGGTCCCTATGAAACTTTAATCCCAGATGTTTTTCCCGAAGTCGTCTGGAAGTTTGTTGCACCATTTAAGAGACTTCCTGCATATAACGTTGTTAAACTTGTACATTTCGACCAAAAGTAAACTGAAAATATCATTTAAAAGAAAATCTGTAACATTGGGAAGAAAACTAATTTCAAATATGAAATCGAATTAGGCAAGATCAAGTTTTTCTATAAATGCAATGAAAAATTGTTCCATAGTGTAATCCATCTTTTATTTATGTCTGAATTTTATTTCTATTTCATAGGGAAATTTTATGGAAAAGAAAACCTATCTATTAAGGAAAGAGCTGTGAATTTATGTTCAAAATTTTCAGTGGGCCACAGTATATCAAAACTATTATGCTGCGACAATAATAATGACGCCTCTGATGTTTGCAAGGGAATGACGTTTTTCAATATTTTATTTTCAATATTTTTGCATACATATGCTTTACCACACCCATTACATTTGTACAGATTTCGTAAGTATAGAAATTTTTCTTTAATTATTAATATGTATTTCTCATAATTTTTCAACTGCATCGAAATTGTATTGTTAGTTCCGTATTATGTTCTAAGCTGAAAACATCGATCTCGCTTTCACTTTCGATTATGTCAAATTTGTTTAGGTCGAAATATTTTTAACAATGTAACTACTTTATAGGTTGAAAAAATATTTCTGTAAAAAAAATATTTTTTTAATATTTCATAATTTTATTTTATTTTTTAAACTCTTTGAAGAATTTCACAATTGTTTTGCCATAATAACCTTAGAAACATTATTTTGTTTCATGCATTTGAAACCTAACAGTTGTTTCGCAAAATTATTTTATTGCATGTATTTAAAGTATATCTTGTTTCAAACTTCATCAAACATGTTTAATATTAAGTCATATTAATTGTCAAACACCTAGTTTTATAATATTGTTTTGTTTATATTATACTGCTTCAAGAAACTAAAAGAAGTTCGCGTAAGAAACTGATAAGTTTTACAATTATTTATTTATATCAAATTTTAAAACAATAACTTTTGTAAAACAGAACAATAAATTTCTAGAAAGATTAGATTATATTAAATTAAAAGAATTATTCTCACAAAAGAGAACGAGAACATTATTGAATTTATTGAAGTTAAAAAATATATAATTTTTTTCAAAAGATATTACAAAAGAATATATTAAGGAATATATTAAAAAAAGAAAGTTTAAAATAGGGCATATTTGATTTAAATTGTAATGAACTAATTTTCCCGATGGAAAAATATTAAAAATTATAAATCTTTAAGCAAATTTACGATTAGTGTCTTAAAATTCTTCTAATTTCTTAGTTTTAATGTACTCCTAAATACTTTACAATATACAATTTTAAAAAATTGCATTAGTTCAGCTTCATGCAGCATTTTCTCAATGCTCTTTTTTTCTTTACTTTTACTGATCCCTTATTATTTCTTTAATCGCATGCATTTCTCATATTTATTCTATTTCTATTAACTGGTTAGAAGAAAATTGCTAAGTTAAAAATAAGACAAATTTCATTTGCATTGCAAGAAACTATTTTTTCCCGATAGAAAAATATTAAAAATTATAAATATTTAAACAAATTTACGATTAGTGTTTTTAAATTCTAATTTTTAACCATAATTCCTAATGTATTTCTAAATACTTTAGAATATACAATTTAAAAAACATTAAAATAGTTCAATTTCATGCATTCATTATTTTCTCAGTATTCTTTTTCACTAATTCCTTATTATTTATTGAATCGCATGCATTTCTCATCTTTATTCCATTTACATTACCTGTTTAAAAGATATCGACTGACCTGTATAATTGCTAAATTTTCAATATTAAATGAATTTTGCAGACACTAATGAGGCTAAGTATCTATTGACCTAATCTAAATTGCTTCAAAGCAGCATTTAAAAAAAACAGAATCTCGTGCATAATTTTTTTCGAAGCAAAAAGTGAAAATAAATCGATTTAATCGTATTGGTTTCTGAGCTGTTCAAATGATTTTCAATAAAAACGTTTAATTATTATCTATATTTACGTTCAGTAGAACAGAATGAATCGTTTTAATTATCTGAGTATACAGAAATGAGCACGCTAAAATGAATGATTTGCAGAGTTAAACATGTTATTAGTGTTATTTTCCCTTCTAAATACTGATTGCGCAAACCAGCGATCATTCTTTATATTGGAATCAAAAGAAAATTAACACACTACCGTATTGCATATTCTTATTTCAGGAGATACATTAAATTTTACTAAGTTTATCGATGAGATTTTATTTGGGGCTGTTGCCAACTCTTCCGTTGGCATCGACACTTTCTTCTTTTTGGGGTAAGCTAATGAAAATTTATTTCCTGTTTATCTCTCTTTAAAAAATAAAATGGTTCTTTGTTTAAAATGCACTGTAGTTTTGAATAACTAAACTAATAAATTGTTTTATTATTCTAGAGGATTTTATTTTGTGAATTCGAGATGGAAAAATATAAAGAGGCCAAACATATTGCCTTATATTTTGAAGTTTATATTCATGGTCGTTATAAGGTATTGCATAAAGCGCTTTCAATACATTAAATAAATAACTCAAATTTAATTAATTAATTTTTTTTGCTACTTGATATTTTCTAATAATTATTCTCGATGCAAAAAAAGATAAAATTACAAGTTAATTAGACAAAAACTGTATGGGGATTTTATCAATTTAATTGCAGATCATTATTTTAATACAAAATTCATAATCTTCTGGACTACTAGTTTGTGCAATATAAATTTTATGTTATCAAAATAATTTGATTCCTTTTTGTTCAAATTAATATTTTAGCAATAAATGATGAAATTTTTCTATACGTTAAACACTCACCGTCAATAAACTTTCCAAAGATCCACAGTACCTTTTTTTTTAAATTTGTTTTTGTATTTACTCAGCTTATGTTTCTATTAATTGTTGTGATTATGCTTACATTAGCAGCTTCAATTTTTTTTCTTTTTATGAAAGATAAACTAGTCATTTATATGAATTGAAATTTATGCACAGTTCTCCAAAAAAAAACAGTCAACCCTGAATAACTTTTGATTTAATGATCGGATCTTCACGTTCTAGGACTCATGCTGAATGCTTCGAGGGGGTGACTTCAAATATGATAATTTTTTTCTCAAGTTGAAAATACCCAATTATACTGTTTATTTTTTTCAGTAGAGCCAAAAGTGCCTTTCGATGCTTCTTAAAACTAACTAAACTATGGAGACTAAATTGCACATCATAAATAAGAACAAATTTTACTTTATTTTCACCTTCAACTAATTAATTAAAATGAATTAAAACTTAAAAAATAATTAAATTATTTAAATTTGATTAAAACTTTTCTATTAGTTAAAATTTTAGAAATTAATTAAACTTTTATTGAAATTTTCCAAATTAATAAAAATTTTTTAAAATTTTACTAATGAATTAAGATTTAAAAAACTTAAATTTTTCAATTAATTGAAACTGAAATTTTTAAGAAAACAATTAAACTAGAAAAGTGTTCAAATTTATTTTATTTTTAAAAAAATATTAAATAATTAATGAATACATTACTTAAGGATTACTTCCAATAAATACACTTATTTAATGATGATGCAATTTTGTAATATTTTTGTGTTGTGGATCCTTTCCCAATTATATATGCTTGTGGTTATTAAAATGAAAACAAATATATTATTTCGAAAGTGAAACATCTTTCTCACATTATAAGATATGAATATTAATTTTAATACAACTTAATTTACGCTTCATGTAATTTACGTAAGTAATGCAATTACGGTGCAAACTTGCGCACCTTGTTAAACATTTCTAGAAGAAATATTTTAATGTAATACACTGGTTTCTACATGATTATATAATATACTTACATAAATATTTAGTTGTGAAGTTTAAAAAAGCTCATTTAATAAAAATACAAATACAACCTTTATTTATTTTGTTAAAAAGAAATTTTTTTTTTTTTTGTAGAATGATATTTGCGCAAGTTCTAGTTGGATGTTTGTTATTTTTACTCCCTTCTCTTGGATCTGGACCGCTTTGGAAAGACTTTGTAGAATCGCCTGTAAACAATTGCAAAAAAAGTTGGTGGATGAATTTGCTCTTTATTCAAAACTTCTTGGGACCCTATGATATAGTAAGAACAACTTATTTCCCTTCAAAAGTGACATTTATAAGTGTTAAAATTTTGTTAATATAACAAGTAAATTTATAGAAATTTGTCTTATCTTCTATTCTCTTATATACCTTTAAATTGGTCTGATCTGTTGTCAATATCATCTAGTTAAATAAGGATAAAATAAGATCGCAAAAAGTCTCGAATTATTGAAAGTTCGACTTAGCAAAATAGGTCAATGTTGTAAATATAAGAAAGAGGACAAATAAGATAGCAACAAATCTCACCAAAATAGTTACTGAGCTTTTGTCCACTTAGCTTTTCCTTTATTTGTATGTAGGGCCAATAACATTTATTAAAACAACGGAGTTAAGTTCAGTTTCATGTTTTTACAATTCAATCATGTTTTTTTTTTCGACTTACTCTCCAGCTTATTTCTACTTATATACAGAGGAGACTACATATCAGGCAAGATAGGAAAAACAATGTATTCACTCTAAATGATTATGAATCAAATTATGGTATACAGTACCGTCTCTTAGGGTCCATCATCAGTTAAAACAGTATTTACCGTTAAAAATTATACCGTAATTTTTACAGTAATATTCATTTAATTAGTGATTTTGCAATAATTATTCAACAATTTTACAATAAGTGATTTTATAATAAGTGATTCAGTGATTATTTTTGTGATTTTACTATAATTATTTCTGTAAAAATTAAGGCGTATCAGATTTCTCATTCCATAACAATGTCCGAAAAAAAAGGAATTTCATGGTAAAAGGAGATGCTATAGTAAAAAAAAGAGAGAGATTGATATTTTTTACTGTAATTTTCACAGTGTTCTTTAAGGTTCAGTATTTTGAAATTAACTAATATCAAAGATACCCAATATGTCACTCGCCAATAGGATAAATTGTTTTTATAGATAGTTTCTTAGATAGTTAGGAGATACTATATGAAACTAATTTTGTCAATTTCGAAACAATTATTAAGTTATAAATTATCTAAAAACTTAAATCTTTACCGCAAATTTTTACTCATCCTGCTGATAAAGAACAGTGCCATGGCTTACTTTAATTTAAAATTATTTTCTCTGCAATCGGAAATTTTAATATTTGAGTTTTAAAAAGTTAATCCCGAAAATTTAAATTTAAAAATTTGAATCAAAACTTTACCTCTTAAGTAAAACACAATTTTTTACGGTAACAGTTTTAATTTTTTTAAGGTAAGCAATTTCATATCTGAATTAGAACTCTATCCAGAAACTGTTTGAAATTTATAGTATTACTAGGAGGCTCCGCCCCCTGCTCGCTAACGCTCGCCAACCCCCGAGAATTGCTACGCAATCCTATGTGGTTCACGCCGTGAACCATGGCTTGCTGCCCTCGCTCGCCAATGAACACAATGTTCTAGCACAAAGACATAATATATTATCATCAAAGACATAGTATTTTATCATCAAAGACATAGTATTGTACTTATGTAGAAGAATTCTACCAATGTTCTTATTGGCTTTTAAAAAAGTATATTAGCTATTTAGATTGTACATGGTGAAAAAATCACAACATTAGCTAAATAAGAAACATATTAGCAAAATAAATTATCAAATATTGCTTCACTAATATTCTGCATTTTAAAGCGTGAAAATTCAATGCATAAATAAACGCGAAATATAAAAAAAATTCAATGCATTCAATACAAACACTTAAATGTTTTTCAGACGTTTAGGTAGCTCCCAGTAGAAAAATATCAATTCAACAGCGGCCTTTTAAAGCATTCTCACTTCAATTAATTAATTAATTCCTAATTGAGTTTAAACTAAATATTGTCATGTTTTTAGTGCATGAATCTGAATTGAACAACCTGATAATACTCACTCTGGTTATTGTTATCTGGTTGCTCACTACGTGCTCTTGCGCGCCGAATCCAATCAATTAAAAATGAAAACTGTTGCCAGCGCGAGAAGAGAAATATCATCGGTTTTATTGATACGTACGTATTAGCGTTTTATATAATAGAGATTGTTATAATATAAACGCTATTCGTACAACCGTATTCTCTAATTGTAGAATACTTCATTCAAAACAAAACAAAAAAAATCATTCGCACCAAGATTAAATTGTTTTTTTTTATCGTTTTCTTCCTTGTTAAAAAAAGTGAGTTAAAAAATTTGTGTAATGTTGTAAATTAATATCAAATGTTTTGTTGATTTGTCCTTTCTCAAAAAAAATATATTTATTTGTAAAGCAATAGGAAAAGGTTATGATATAAAAATCTACATACGACTACTATTTATATTATGCTTATTAGTAGAGCCCGGATTTTGATGACCTAAAAAATCTCAACTAATGCCCTTAAAAAGTGCAAAAAATGCCCTTAAAAAGGGCCAAAAATGCTCTTAAAAATGCAAAAATTGCGCAAAAAATGCCTTAAATAAAGTAAAAATATTGAATTTAAAAAATATTTCGGTCTTTAAAATTATTATGAGTCATTTAAAAAATATAAAGCAATGCAATACTTGTTCTACGTTTATTAAAGTTTAAAAAATATGTTTTTTATCCTAAAATAACAAAAAAAGGAAAATATATTGACACCAAAATATTTTTATTTTGCAAAGAAACTTTAATGGACATAGCAACTTCCATCTCATAATATTACTAAATATCAGAATTACATTGGATTATTAAATGTTTCTTGATAATTTGAAATGTAAGCGAGCGTCTCTTGTCTGAAAGTAAATTTTCATTCCTGCAGAAGCTTTTCTTTCAACGTCTACTGATGTTATAGGTGCGTACTCGAAAAAGACGGTCTCACTTACTGACAATTCTTCTTCAATTTGAAAAGATTTTGCTTCACCTGTTAATATTCTATAGATTTTCTTCATTGTTTGGAAGCCAGTGTAATAATGAAAATTGATAAAAAATAGTAAAAATTGGAAAAAATTAACAAAAAACTTTAAAAAATGCATTAAAATGCAAAATACGCCCCAAATTTTAAAGAAAAATGCCCTATAAATCTAAAAAAATGCTCTAAAAGACAAAAAATGTCCAAAAATGCAAAAAATGCATAAAAATGCAAATGTCATCAAAATCCGGGCCTTACTTATTAGTTTTACTTTTAATGGTTTTATTTTTAATTTCGTGGTACTAAAACATTCACATTAAGTTGTTAATGCTATTTTAAATAGAATAACTCTTTTCTTTTAGTGCCTTTATCAAAGCTGGTTTTTTCCAACTATGGTTCATGTTTTCATTATAACTGCGGTACTAGTATATGCACTTCACAGGTAAATATATCACATCTATCGTTTTTTTTAAATATTTTTTGGTTGTTATTGCAAATTCTTACTGTTTTTAAATTATATCTACAAAAACTTTAAAAAATTAGTTTCTTGAAAAGTATTGATCCTTTAACTTTCCGTGTTTGATTTTTCGTGTTATATTTGAGAAGAAGGACAAAACACTGTCTAGTTTTTAACATAATTAAGAATATAAATGTCTTATTAAAGTAATCGCTTTACAAGTTATTATTTTCAATAAAAATTAAAAGCATAAAAATACATTAATTCTTTAATATGAAACATTGAAGAATCAGTTCGATATTTTCTGTAATACAAAAAGTTTCTTTTGTAAAACTAAAAATACCTATCTAATGGTACTAAAAAAATTTCGAATTTGTTAATTAGCTGGATATTTTATTACAAACCATTTTTTTTCCAAATTTAATAAATGATTCATTTTTTATCCTTTTACGTAAACTAGTTGCGTAATAAACAAGTACATTAAATGCTTTTCGTTTCGAAGATTATTTCAGGAAAATTAAATTTTTTTCTTCTTTAGTATATTTTATTCCAAAAAAGACAAATATTGACAGTTAAGCATTTATGTAAACAAACATTTTCTAAAAAAAAATGTATTTCCTAAAGTACCTAATTTTTCCGTAAAATCCATTTTACCGTAAATGTTACCTGCAAAATATTATTCCGTACATTTTACTGTTATATTTCTGTAATTAAATCATTCAGTGGTTTTACGGTAACTATTCGGTAGAAATTAAGGTACATCAGATTTTTCATTCTGTAACATGCTTCGGTAAATATGGATTTTACGGTGGTTTTTACCCCAATTTGATTCGGGATTTCTTTCACAGTGCAATATGATCATTTCAAAGATTTTAAGACTAGTTGATATTATTTGATGGTCTTTAATTTCCTAAACTGAGAAATATGAAAAACAAAGTCGTAAATTTTTTTTTATCTATGGCACTTTTTATCAATGAAACAATTCATCATTTGTAATAACAAAATATTTTTGTATGCATTAATGGTTATAAATTCTTTCATTGCGAAAAATGAACACATATTTACTGTATTACTGTAATAGTTAATTTCATCTTTAATAAATAATGTTATGATATTACTCTTAAGGTTAAATGGTGAAATTATCATACCAACAATACAGTCATTTTAATAATAGTTTATTAAATTAGGTGGCCTTTTGGAGGAGTTGTAAGCACAGTAACTGTTATCGTGATAAGTGTTTTGGTTATGGCACTGGTAACAGCAATAACAGGATATCCAGCTACCTTAGCTGTTTATTTCTATGATTACAGGTATTTTGTTCCTTATAATATTTTCAAGCTCTTGATTCAATTTTTGTTTAATTTTTTAATGTTTTACATTTTTTTAATATTTAATTATTTTTATAATTTTTTAACAATATTTTAGTATAAAGCAAACCAATCAAAGTCATATTATTTTTGATAAGACAGAAATTCTATTTAAAACAAGACGGATTGATTAGGGAATAAAATAAAAGAATTATTACAGTTTGTTTTAAGAAATTACCTTTCCTTGCACAAAACGTTCTTTTTTTTCACAAATTTCTTTATAAATTTTAATTAAGCAATTCAGGTAACCAACTATTATATTATAAATTTAGTTTAAACATCTAAAACACATAATAAATGTTGAGTAGTGAAACGAAAAAAAAATTAAAATGTAAGAAATGCTTTATTTATTTTAATTATTTTGTTATAGAGTTTTATTTTTTTATTGAATTTATTTGTTATTCAAATATCACTAACAATATTTCATATAGCATCAAGGTATACATGTAATATGATGGTGATTTGTATGGTGATAACATTTCTAGTAAAAGTATATTTAAAGTATTTATTTAGCAATTTTGTAAATCGGAAATTATGATTTTTAAAATTATGTTTCTTATTACCGGAAGTATAGTAAAAATACTAAACTGAAAAGTAAATTTAACCAAATAACTGGTTCGTATACCATGCTGTGAAGTATTTTGATAAACTTACCAAATTTTAAAACTTTTATTAACAAGGAACACATTTTATAGTTAATTTTATCAAAAGTCACTGGGAAAGCACTTCGGTAAAAATCACTGAGCTTTTTTGCAGCAAGAAACGCGGCACATTTTATCATATTCTGATAGTTTTAACCAAAAGGAACAATCATCATAGTTCTTTATAGCTATGGTCGACTAATTAATTAAAAGCTCTGAATTAATAATTGTTGAAACAACTTGGGTTAAAAAAATTTGCTAATTACATCTTAATATTTAACATACTAATCATGCATTATATCGTAAAGGCTTTTTTCGTGAGACGATGATAATCAAGAAAAAGAAGAAAAAAGAATACTTGCAAATATTTATTTAAGTTTAGTAAATAGATTTTCCTTTTGTTTATTACTTCAATTTCAAAACATTCGAGAGAAGTGTATATCATGCTTCGATGACTAATTTCATTTTATTATTATAAATATTCTTTACTTTCTCAAAAGCTACGAAAAAATACGAACTTATTTACCATATTTCTAGAAAAACAAATAAAACAAAAATGCGGCTCTAAAATGTTAATGAATGATAAAAGTACAGCAAGAAATTCCCCTCTGGGAATTTACAAAGCACCACTGAGTTAAATTTATAAGAAAAAATTCCTCAAGTTGTTTTCGAATCTGCGCATTTACCAATTGCCTTATATTGCCGCAGCAAGATTTTCCCAGTCTCTTACAGGCAAAACGTTAGTCATTCGAAACGTTTTTCATTCGTTTAAAATTCTTTTTATTCTGTTGTCGTACATAGCACATTACCATTACATTAGTTAACCAGTTTTATGTAAAGAATAAAATTTAGGTACATTTTTGTAAAAGACCTCCTAGTGGCTAATACTCGGAAATGCGTAATATAATGCATTTTTGTGCCGGCTTTGAGTTAAATGCGCCAAAATAAATAGCATATTAATTCATAATGAAACGTTCAATGTCTGCAGCAATATTATAACTTTGATTTAAGTGCTAAAACACGCTGAGTTCGAAGAAACCAAAGAATATTCCATTCTCATAAATAAAACTTCTTTCACGTCATGTTTGATAGATTTATTGTCATGTTTTCAAAAAACATTTACACAAATAGATAAAGTTATAAAAAAAATTTGAGACTAATATTTTAAGAAAACATATTTCCTATTACGCTTGAAGTGACAGAAATGGCGTTTATAAAACATTGCGTAAGGTGTATGGAAATGAATGAATTTAATTAAATAAATTTAAAATAACCGAGGTCATAAGCAAATTAGATAATCTTTAGGATTGTATACTTACATAAATATTGATAGTTCGTTTATTTTTAATACCTTTATTTTGAATTTGGTTAAAAATAATAATATACTGAATGAGCCGCAAAAATGTAATTTGTAATAATATATTAAGAGAAGCTTTTATTAATAAAACTTAACAAGCTTTCAGAAGTATTATTTCAATGATAGTTTTAAAAGATAATTACTTCAAGTGGCAATCGCTAATTATTCTAAATTTTTATATTTTAGGATTAGAAAAATTAAAAAATTAAAATTAAGAATTAAAAACATTTTTTTATTCATATAATATAAAAAAACTATGTTTGCATATTTAAGTCTTTTTTAAAAAAATATTTTTCTTAGACAGTCGTAAACTCATTAGGTAAAATAATTTTAAAAACCACTTAAAAATGCATAAAAATGATCTACTTTAAGGGAACAACAAGCATTTTTAAATTACTTTCAATTCAAATGGATACTTGTATGCATCTATTTTAACTGAACACTTTAATTGCGCATGAATTATACATTCTACGTAGTAATAGAAACACAAACTTTTTTAATAGCATATAAATTTTGTTTGTAAAATATGAACTCAAAAAATGATTCCAAAAATGAGTCTTAAATTGATCGTAAATTATCGTCCTTTCATTTTAAAACTCAGTTTCCTTTAAGTAAAATAATGATAAAAATATAAAGTTAAATGCGTTTTCAAAGCAATTTATTTCTTTATATTAGTTTATTTTATTTATTTTTTAGGGGGGAGGGGTTATTAGAGTAGATAGTGAGTTGCAAAACTTTGTAAAAATGAACACTATAAAAAAATTCCGAATCAACTTTCGGTAATAAACAACTTACCGGCACTCAGGTTGCCAGCACCGAATCACTATAAATAAATATTACTGTAAAAATTACGGTATAATATTTAACGGTGAAACTGGATTTTAAGGATGATGCACCCAAAGTACCGGTATACTTTATACCGTAATTTGATCCGGAATTCTTTACAGTGAATGTAATTTAGCAAATTTCTTGAATCTCTTGAGTAAATAATTAAATTACAACACCTTTTTACAGTTAATATTGGTCTTTGATTTGTAATTTTTTTTAAAATATAATAATAATAATTTTATTCATCATGTTTGAGTTTTTAGTTCATTAAATAAAAGTTCAACTTCATTAGCTACTGATTTTACACATGCTTTTTTTATTAGTGGAAGTATTTAAAAAATACGCTACCATACTATCCAGTGGTATATATTCCTTACTATCAAGTTGTACATTACTATCCAGCATAGAAAAAAAATCATCAAAATTAGCTTATGTACCATTCAAACTGAATGCTAGATAAATAGTTTGAATAAGCTAGATCTATTTATTTATCGATAGAAAAATAAATGCTAGATAAGTTCAAAAGAATGATTAGCAAACTTTACAGCAAATTTGTGAAAACTGTCCACATTATCTGCCCCCTGTTATCTGCACAATGCAAAGATATAATTACAATGAAAATTACCTGAGGTTGAACAATTTATATGAGGACAACTAATGTTCCGAAAAAGTATTGTATTTATTGAAATTATTTTTAATTTAATTTTTAAATGAACCAATCATGGTTACATGCATTATGGTGGTTCCTCTGTACTTTAAAGACATTAACATTAAAAGAAAATGCTTTAACAAACCAATTAGAAATCTTTTTTTTTTTTTCCCATATGCATTATCTTTTCATTTCACAATTTATTTTATTATCCATCTTTTTTATTGTTTCATTTTGTTGCTACATATTAAAAGCTTGCTTTTAATTATAAACAAAAGAGCATATTAAAAGATTTTCTGCAGTTGAATCAAATAAAAAAATCGATTGCCTATTACTTGAGTTGTTTATATTTGAAATTCATATATTATTTTCTGTGTGGACAGCACTTTCATCTACAAAACTTGGAATTTGCTGCTGATTATGGTGCTGCCATCTATCTTACACTAATGGAAAATTAAATATACCTTACAAATATAAAGCAAAGGAAACAATCCATCACCTTTAACTAGCAGACAATTTTCAAATTTTCCAAAGAATTTTTTAAAAAAATACAAGCCCAAAAGTTTTTTTCAATCAACATTTTTTTTTGCAGACAAGCTGTTTTTTTATTTTTTTTTTATTTTTTTATTTTTTTTTATTATGTTTATAGTTTTACACCACAATGAGTATAAGCTTGTTTTTTTTTTTTTTTTTTTTTTTTTTTTTTTTTTTNTTTTTTTTTTTTTTTTTTTTTTTTTTTTTTTTTTTCAAATTACAGAAATTGTTCTAATTTTTTTTAAGAAATATTGAATGGAAGGTATTGTATTTGTAACTAACCGAAAATTTATATGAATAAAAATATCCCTTTACCTTATTTCTGCTTACGGCTTAGTTGTAAAATTACTTACAACATGCGAAAGTAGAGATTTAAATTTCATAACATCGCTTAGATCCCCTTTTTGCGAAAAATAATAACAATACATCTTTTTATTGTTAAAAAATTACATGCATCCCGATTTTTAAGCAGCAAAATAATACTAAAATAATGCAGAAATGATAACTTTTATGTCGTATTTTCAGATGTGAATGCTTATTGAGTTATGTTTAAATTGTTTTTTCTTCACAATGTATGTTAAGAAATTATTTTTTAAACTATATTAAATTGATTAAATTTTCAATTAATTTAAATTTAATTAATTATTAATTTTTGATTGATATTCTTGAATGTCACGGAAATGTGACGAAAGAGGAAATGATGGACGAAATTAAAAGAAAAATCTCATTTCTTGATAAGCGCAATATTTTGTAATTTTAAACAAAGACATCGTTTTTGTTTTTGTTTTTTAAAAAAACTCAACTTTCAATATTTCTATCATTTTACAATTAAAACTAAATTTGTACTCCCTAAATAAACCCTAACTAAATCTGGACGAAATATTGATGTATCATAAAATTAATAGTAAAAATATAGATTGTAAGACAATTATCAACTACAATATTACATCTAATAAGACAATTTTGAAAGTGTTATCAATAATGAAAAGAACAAATACAACATTATCGTAAGTGTTGATAAATTCTTTTTCGATTTCAAAAATATTGACAAAGGTAAAAAAAAAAAAAGATTAAATTAATTAATTTGAAAAATCTGATTATATATCGATATTTACTGATGATGTATCGCGAACACTGATGCCGTTCCAAATAAGAATATGTTTTTGGTGCAAATGATACCAATTTCATTTAATGTTATTTAAAGCATGTTTTTTCCCAACTAACTAAAAATACAAATTTTTACGAGAGCAAAGCACCTGAAACGGGATGACTGATCGCTACATTGAAATCGTTATACAGGGTGTTTATAGAGTCCCGGACCCATTTTATAGTTCAATAACTCATTAAATAATAAAGATAGATTAAAATTAATAACATAAATGGTTAGATGGACTCAAAAAGTTTCATGATCCTTGTCAATGAACTTCCACGTGTGCCCCCTTCGTCGCACGGAGAATATCAAGTCGATAGTCAATTTCCCGCCAGGTAGCTGCATAGGCTATTGCGGTTGTAATTCTGGCTTTTAGGTCATCAATGTTCAACACGATCCTCCTGTAAGCATTGTCCTTTATTTCCCCAAAGAAAAAAGTCCAGCGGTGTTATATCAGGTGATCTGGGTGGCCAAGGAATTGAACCTCCTCGCCCAATCCATCTTCCTGGAAAATGGCCATTCAAGAAATGGTCATTCAAAGAACTACGAACGATAATACCACAATAAGGTGGTGCACCATCTTGTTGCAAAAAGACGTGTGGCTGAAGCTCTTCTAGTTGTGGAAATACGAAGTTTTCCAATACGTCTAAGTATACGACTGATGAGACCGTTTTTTCTGGAAAAAAGAAAGGCCCAATGACTCGGTCGTGCATCAGTCCACACCACACATTAACCTTTGGGGAATCCCTTTGTGTCTCAGGGTATTCATGGGGATTTTCAGATCCCCATATGCTCACATTATGGCGATTAACAATGCCAGAAACATGAAAGGATGCTTCGTCGGAGAACATTATGCACTTCAGAAAATCAGCAGCATCTTCTATCCTTCCTACCATATCTGTTGTAAACCTCTAAAAAAGAAGGGGTCACACGTGGAGGTTCATTGACAAGGGTCATGAAACTTTTTGAGTCTATCTAACCATTTATGTTATTAATTTTAATCTATCTTTATTATTTTATGAGTTATTAAACATCAAAATGGGTCCGGGACTTTATAAACACCCTGTATAATATTATTTACAATACTTTTTTTATTATTTTTAAATTTAAATAAAAAGTGAAATCAATAATAAAAACAATTTATAAATCATAGCTTTGTTTTATGTATTTGATAGTCAATATATTGTTTTTCGCGTAGGACATCTATCTATTTCTGGAAATATGTGTACACGCAGTTTTATACACATATTGGATCCCAATGTATCGGAATGTTGACGGCATATTTCATAGCTGAGTACCCAATAAAAAAGCTGGATAAAGTAAGTTTTGTGCTTTGATTTTTAATGAACGAATTTTAAGTTTGCTATTCATTACAGAAAAATCAACAATTCAATTCTAATTTATTGTTTTATGAGGTTATTTCTTTTTTTTTTTTTTGGTACTTGAGAATAAGGCTGAATCTATACATAATAATAAACGCGGCTGTGTGTGTGTGTGTGTGTCTGTAATCACAATATATCGCCCCAGAAGCCTCGCCCGGGCACGAAACTCGGCCCATAATTGTGTTTTGACATAATGAAGAAGTATTTTTTTTTTTTTCAAAAACTTTGATTAGTTATTTAGTTATCAGTCATTTTGTAAGTCTATGCTTTTCGTCTGCTTTTTCGTCTTCAAAGAGCCATATTCAAAAAACTTTTAAAAAATGCATATACTTTTCCCCACTCTTATAAATGTATGCTAATGCGAACCTCACAATTGAAATATTAATTTTCGACAACTTAAACCAATAATATACGAAGGAATTAATAATTTAA